GTTTATGTTGTATTTGAATTGCGGAGGTAAACATGGGGGAATTGACTTGCGATTTTCTGCGAAGTCTCACCGCCTCAATATCTATTGCATAAAACGGAGAGAAGGTGTAGACAGGAAAAATGCTTGGAGGGAATCTGACAATTGCACCTTGAAAGTGTTAATGACACTTGGCAATTAACACGTCTAATTAAACTAAGTGACTAATACGTCCAATGTTTTAATGCTTCCCCATGAGACTTTGAGTGTTTTTCTTGTGAATGAAAATTATCTTTTATGATCTGTCTTTTTAACTTTTCCATTAAGTCCAGAGTTTATTATGGGCCTAGAAAAATTGATGGAGCTTGTAGGAAAATTACAGCACACTTTTGTTAGTCTTTAAGTGTGCTCCATTTTTCTCACTTCTTTGCTGAACAGAGCCAGAGAAAGTTTTTCCTGATTTCAATTGCTGGGATGAATGAAAAAAAAAATTCTTTTCACTTACTTTTACCTGAGAGGAAACAGCAACTCTTTTCCATCAGCTTTCCTTCAAGTCTTTTCAAGAGTTGCACAATCAATGAATGCCTTGCATTTCTGTAGTAGGGAAGAAACTATGTATGAACATTTCAATTGTGTTCTTGTGTTATTGTTGAATAAGAATGTAAGTATAGTCTGTTCATATTGTCAGTTGATCAAATAGCAGGTGTGAATGGGTAAATCACATTTTAATTAATGCAAACAGCAGTGGTGAAAAACTGTATTTTATCTATAACATCGATTTCCTGCCAAAACCCTGTATTTGTATTTGATTTGGCGTTGCAAATAAACGCAATTTTGTTATTTTTGTGAATTCGTTGACCTAAATATTACAATGAAAATCACATTTTTTTTATCTCTGACATGTGAATACATCGTGAAAGTTCCGAATTTACTTTAAAAATTTCGACAGGATATTGTGATGTGTGAATACAAATGCAGCAGATAAATTAACTAAATCGAGTTATCAAATTTATTTATATTGCATTTACCAGAACAGACTAATGCTGGCTGACGATGTCAACACGTGTTAAAGTCTTGTTAAACATTGATCTTCTATAAATTGATGGTGCTTTTGGGTGCTTTTTGAACCCGTTGTGCACAATTTAAAACAATTAAACCACACGTATTTGCTCTGCACATGCAATATATTATTTATTCTGACAACATTCATCAGGCAAACAGGTATTTTGAGATAAAATGAGACAAAAGTGCTCATGTGTCCACATGTATATATAATGTCAGCATATATATTGCTACTTTAAAATAATAGCTAGCCTGATTTTACTACCTTGGAAAAATACACCCTAAAGCAAAGGGCATGTTGAAGAGAAAAGCAGAACCAGCACGTGTAAGGTTGGAAAAGTTAAACGGCTGTAAATTTTATTGTGTGAATTCATTGGGGGTGAAATTTCTCTCAATATCCGAATGTCGTTGGAGAAAAGTTGTTGGAATGAAGTCGTGTAGTTGAGGAATTGTGAGTGGATGTAAAGGAGGGCAAAAGCCCTGTCTAGTGAATGTCTATTTTTGGACGAAAATGCTTTCGACAGATGTATGTATGGTGAGAAAACGCATCTTCAGCGGCACACAGATCCACATGTGGAAAATGTGGAGAGGAGAGCGAAGGAGTCTCGAGAAAAAGGGACCTCTTGGCGCCTCAAGATATCGATCGGCGGCATGGCATCTCTTTAGCGTCGTGACGCACAAATGTTTGTATATGTAATATGAATTGTAATGGGAAATCTCTTCTTTTCCATCCCAACACACTTGGGTATTTGCCCACGTAGACAGAGAGTCGTCTAACGGGGCACGTTTGCTTTTTTCATCACTCTTGCGCAAGTGAGAAGCCTGCGATTCTGGGAGATCAAGACTCGTGCGTCTGCTTTCTCTTTCTTCATCATCATTTCCCACGAAAGAGAGTCTGGGTGACATAAAATGGGGCAATCTGGGAGAGCTAAAAGGACATTATTTTTCGCCTTGTCTTACCCTGTCGCATGTTAGGATGGAAATTGAGGCATACTTTTGGGTGGTTTTTCCCAGCTCCGTTCATAAATTCACAGAATAAATTCATTTTGGGGAAATATGAGGTGAAGAAATTGGATTTATTACAATGAGTCACTCTCAAGGGGTTCATTTGTACGGCCTTTTGTTGAAAATGTACATAATTTCGAATTCTTTTCACTTCCACGACTAGAAAGAGGGAAATATAATTTGCAACCCTTTCGTATTGATGTAATATATGTATGTACGAAGTTGAGATTTTACAATCAGAATATTTTCCATAATTCATCGAGAAATAGCAGTTTTCACTAAGGACATAGTCATGTTTTGCAGAATGGGAAAAGCTTTTAATAATGTATTAATGTGAGAAATTCGCATTATTTATCCACATGGTAAAATCGATTGAAATATTCTAGGAATTTCTTTTAAACATTTAACAATATTCCTGGCAAGGAATACCTTGCTGAATATCCTGACATGTTGATGACTTTTCCGTGTATAGATGCAGATTGATATCTTTTTATTTTTAACTCAAGCACACCTGGGATTCATGTTGAAAGTGGCTTAGCTGATAATTTGCGCTAAATTGGCACTTCCGCGAGCGTTTCGCAATAGTGGGTGATGAAAAAGAGAAGTGGTTCACTTATTAAAAGTGATTAATAATGAGGAGAGGCAATTTTTCAGGACTGTCAGTGGGTCGCTGTGGCAGGAAGTGTGTCGTGTATGATATTGCCATGGTTTATTGTTGCCATTATGACTGTGGCTTGAGTGTAAACAAATGGATGGGACAAAATGTCTACTCGAGCGCATTTCCTGCTCGCGGAAAGACAGTCTCGTTCGCAACACTCTTGAGGTGTGTTGCACAATTGAAGATGATGCTACCCACTCAGCGTGAGGGTGTTTCCTAATGATTTTCCCAAAAACTATTCCAATTACAACTCCCACCGCATCTGCCCTGTCATCAGCGGGCATGATGCATGAGCGAAGTTTCCATACTGCAATTAATTACAGAGGGAAATTGTGTGTAATTGAGAGGATTGTTGGGTGCAACTGCACTGTTTTGAACCTTCTTGCTAATCCTCAGTGATGAAGCCTACAAGACTGGCCTAAATTTCTCAAGTTTTGTCAACACGCAAAGTTGACAAAAATAACTATGGGGCTAAAAGTGTAAATTTAATTTGGAGTTTTAGATGCAGGAATTCGTATTCACGAAGCGGATTTGGGTTATATGTTTGCCGTGCACCCATGCGATTCATCCTGTTTCCTCCCATTCGGGTCGCTTATGATATTATTTGCACTGTGCATTAAAATACATGATAAATTCCAATTTAACCACGAGCGCAATTTGGCGTAACTACGCGACATAATGACGATGTATGAGAAAGTTGAGCCTTGAATGTAGAATTAATGATGTACACATTCCAAGTGTTGCCCCGAGACTGACTTTTTCCAACTTCGCTCAAGGGATAAGACTCAAGGATGTACACAGCCTCTTCTGCTCTTATGGCAGAAATTTAATTATCCTGCAATTTCTTACACAAACTTCAGACTTTTCTTATTGCGTCTTTCAAGGACTCTAACATCATACGCGCGTAATGAAGAAGAATCACTTGCGGTGTCACCGTGGAGAGAAATATTCTACATACAAACGAAATGCTTTCTAATTTGTTTCCCCGTGAAATGTGTGTAAATTTCTTTCCTCCTTCTGGATTATGTGTGCTTTTCCCTCCATCTTTGTTATCCTTTCGGCTGGGGGATTCGACAATAGTGAGGAATGGCATTAATTTAATTCGCACGGTACCTGGCCGGGGTAATTATGTAAATTCCAAATGAATTTAAAGAGGTCTAAGTTTGTTGATTGCTCTTTAATATGTTTTGCCAGCGATGAATGGTGGGATTTGATATAAGAGTACAACAAGGGGTGTGTGTCTTTCTATTATAAAATTCTTCTTAGCGACTTTATATTATTTTGAATTATTACCATTCTCTGTGCGCGTCCTTTGCGAAACTTCCGCCCTTATTTGTCTTTGGGGAGCCACTTCTGCGGTGTGTTATTCTCCCCCCGGTGATCATTGAGCCTCTAAATTCATACGAGCGTGGGTTCATTTTCTCAGTGGAGGTGGAGAATTGAAAACAATCAGGGTGGCTCAAAGGGTTTATGCGGTTAGATCCACACATTATCATTTGGGCGCATGAACTTTTGTAGATATAGAGCGAATATTCGCGCAATGACGGGAATAAATAAAGCTGAAGTCCTCCATTGCTGAGTCTGGAGATGTATTCGGGCTGTGTAGGCCCCTCAAAAATTGTCTAGAGTCACGGGTGAGACCCGCCTGATGGCTTGGGCTAAATGGTGTGTACTCGTCTTTATGGGAAACACATTTCATGCTGTGACTGTGGGATCTTTGCAGCAGCAGAGTGTGCCTCAACTTGGTATAATCAAATTTAACCTTTGCTACTCTCATTGATTTTTTTGTTGGGCAACTGCTGAATCGGGTAGTTGTTATGGGGCAATTGAGTGCGGCGTTTACACGTTATCCACCCTCGTTGGTAATGTATTTTCCATCCACTTTTTCCCATTCATTGCATCCTTAAATGGAGCTTATCGAGGATTAAGTTGCACTAAATATTGCCTTGTCGGCTAAAATCATGTTTTGACGAATCACCCTTTTTGCGGGCATTTTTTGTCAGATCCATTAAAAATACTTTTATTTTTTATTTTTTTTTGTGAAACAGCGGGCAATAAAGCTTGAATTCTTTGGTATAATGGCAAAATATAGACGTAAAACAGGTTGATATATTCAATTTAATCGTCGCATATGTAAATGCATTCATAAATTGATATGATAGGTGGATAATTTATCGATTGATGGGGGGAACAGAGGAAGTCAATTGGCGGTGGAGAATGCAATTCCAATGCACTACAATTTTAATTGAATCAATAAAGTGTATTAATTAATGTTTCTCCATCCTAATTATCCCTTCAGGCTCAATATGCAGTGGACGATGCTGCAGCAATGCCACTGAGGACGAACTGATGATGAAGTCAACGAACAATTTCAAGCAGATTCTGCGACATCACACAAGAAGTCTCCGAGGAATACTCGAATCGACAGCTACCATTTTTCGTGGTGAGTGCAGAAAAATTACTTTTAATATCTGCTCAACATGATGTGAAAATTCTCCTTTGATCACTGCGTTGCGTTAAACAATCACATGCGAATTGACTGATATTACTACCAATCCTGGAATGGGAGATATTCTCACTTCCAGTTCGACAGTCACGAGGGAAATGGGAAATAAACAACAAGTCACGGGCTTTGAGATCAAAGAAATTTGCTTCGTATAGAGTTATTATTAAAATGTGCCTCATTTCACGATGCAGATTCCCTCGTCTCGTATATAAAAGCCTTACGACGCTATTGTGCTCAGAAACATAAGGATATTCCACATTCTGATTTATAGTCTGAGGAAAATCCTTTTCAATAGTGCGCCTCCTGTTTTTGGCCCAACTCGTTAATCTTACGCAAATGGGAGTGTCCTGAAAACTTTATATGTGAGGTTAAATCTTTTATGATTAGTTAGAACTTGTTTATTGTTCTAGAGGTCGTCAAATTTGAATGATTTTAAAGTGACCTGAATTTTTTAAACTACAAAATTATATTAATTACTGTTCCTAAATTCTATTTGATTAGTTGCAAACAAGAAAACTTGAAGAATTTGTGGCGTTCTTCATGTTCGTTCAGAGAATTGCATGTAATATTGGTCAAAATGTGGAATTTGCCCCAAATTTCAATCTAAATTCACCCTCAAAGTTTCTGGTGCACCACGAAAAAGGATACTTTGCGGACAAACTTACACTGGGTCGGGGTGGTGCAGATAAATTGACCTTTTCCGCATTGTTGTGACGAAGTGGATTCCTTTTTGGACATTTTCCATGAATTTTCAAGTATTCGTCACACCACATAGAGTTAAGAGTGTTATGTAGAATTTTTTTGGCATGCCTTTTTTCCAACACCAATCGTGCTTTGGCCCAGTTCAGGGCGACTGCAGAGACTGCGAGGGGGGCAGAATGTAAATAAACTTGCACAGCTCTGGGTGAGTGTCGAAAATGTATAGTGCAGTATATTGCAAGTTGGAGGGAATTCATAAACATTGAGGTCAGTGTGCAGTTCCGATCTTGATGCAGAGTGTCAAGGTTTTCCCCATTGATTTTCCCTGACAGTCTCACCCACTTGCTTCAAACGGTGGTGCTTCCCCTCGCGCTTAGCCGGGTGGAGGATGATATCAAGTGGATTTAGTGAGTAATGCAGTGAAATGTGAGAAGTCGGAGGAACTTTGCAATATGTTTCCGACTTATTTACGGCCTTGCCTTACATTCACCTCCCTTTTCAACTCCTTCACTGTCCTATGTGCGCATATATATCTCAAAGTTGCGCCATTTACGTTTCTTTTCCATCCAACGCGAAAGGGCTGAGACGACAAATCCCTATTTACATATGTTACTTTGTATGTGCATTATATAGTTTGAAATTCAGAACTGATATTTTGCGGTTACATCAAATGTGAACATGTGATGCACACTTTCCGATTGCTCTCTGCCAACTCATGGGGAGGTGAGCAAATGCGCGAGGGATTCACTTTGTCTCTGTGCGAATTAGCATTCAAGAAATGTTGCTCCCCATTGAAGTGTCTAACATGAAGACGATAGTTTTAATTAAATATCGCTACCACGTACAAGAGCGATTGTCTTGAAGTGTATTAGTGTATGTATGCTAATGCCTCTTGCATTTTCGTTCTTCCTTGCATTTGGCGCGATTGCTTGAGATCGCAGCATAATAAATCAATTGTGCAGATAATATTCCAATGGTGGAACAGTCAATTGGTCTCATGGAGAGTGACTTGAGAACCCTTGTGGCACTATTTTATTTATTGCTCCTATGTGTTTAAGCACCGTTAATTGCACGATTAAGCGTGCAAGATAATAAATTGATATGCAAACAAAGGCAAATTCTCAAATGCATACAAACTTCTTGTATTTATTTGTGCGCTCTCAGAGACTTCGCAGTGTCTATGGATGGGGACGCCGGGTGCTTCATCACAGTACGTCCATTGCTAGGAATATATTTATGTGCACAGCTGTAAATCACGGGGAAATCTTTTATTTACTTAACTTAAACTCGAGTGGCAAGTTAAGGGAGTTAAGGAGTCATTATTAATTTAAATTCATTGCAGTTGCAAAGGTGAAAATGCTTGAAGATGGTAATTAATGAATTTTGGGGGACTTTGTTGGGGATTAGAGTGATTTACGGTAGAGCTTGCAAATTAACAGACACATCAGGAGAAATTAGGCAAATAAATTACTATTTATATGCTGTTTTGTTCATGAAGCTCCGAGGGATATTCAATTGGCCAGAATTGCAAGGCAAAACAATGAGATTAAGTGATAGTGTGTCTCATGGTGAATTCAGAGTGATACTATTCCACATATAGAATATGCTTTTGATAAGAATAATCCTGATGTAATATTTAGCTTCAGCACATTTCTCTTTTGGCAATTAGGTCTATCCGTAGCACAATTGCTTGTATGCAGATGAATGTGGAGTTATGCTGGAATATTTATCAGCTTCGGAAATGGTAGTGTAAATGGGTTTAATGCAATTGCGTTAATCATTCTATACCCAAAGATTTGGTATGGAATTGTCCTATATTTAAAGCTTATAGTGGGCAAATGAAGATCCATGGCGGATTAACCCAGAGTCATGAATCTGGGCAGCTCTTCTATAGTGAAATATTTAGTTGAATGTGCGGAAATGAAGACAAGACAAACGGCCGAGGAAATGTGAAAGGGACAGAATAAATGTCACCTGAAGTTTCCCTAAAGGATGCACCTGGCTGCTGAAGGTAGATAAATGCAATTTCTCCCCTCCGCAGTGGGAATTAAATTTTTCCCATGTTGCATGTAAGGTGGAAGATAATAATGGAAAGTGTCACGAGGACGTGGGTGGAAAATTGTATATAAATAATATTCTGGAATTTTATTGCTCTCCCAGCACTTTATTGCCCTCGAGCGAGGTGGGAAACTTGTGTTGGTAGTTGGACGGTGAGTTAGAGCAGGGAGAAAAAAAATTTAAATATGGACTTTAAAATGCGATTTTTCGTCTATCTTCTGCTGCCAGAAGTGTAGAGGTATAAGTAGAATTTCATCGCACTGTTTCTCCTCACTTTATGGCAGGCAGATATGCTTTCGTTACATATAAATTGTGGGGAGCTTGCCTGAGAAACTTGGAGAGATTTTGAGGAAGAGGAAGAGGAAGGAGATGAAAGAACAGATGGAGTACGCTAATCGTCTGAGCCAATTCATATATTTTTCCCAGAGGAACGAGAGAAGCGTATTGAATTAAAGTTTCACGAAAGTTCAAATTTATACTTCTCTCACTTGCAGCACAACTGACAAATTTATCTCCTTTATTGTTGGCTGTTGTAATATGGCTTCTATCTAAAATTGTATTCTCGTCCATTTAAGGGCTGTTTTTTTTTGTGCAGTTCCGGAAACGGGATGGAAGTGATGAAAAGGTACTCAATATTTCAAAATACAAAGTGCAACGGCACCAGCTGTGACAAATCGCACGCTTTGCGCGACAATTGATCGTGATAAATGACATTGGAGCAATGTCTAGAGGTCAATGGAATGAAAGAGTGGAAATAGACCAAATGCTGTCTGTGTAATGTTTAGATATTCATCCCGAAATAACACTTGAACGGGCAAAAGTGGATGAAGTGGCCAGAATTCTGCCATTTAGTGGTAATTTGGACTTGTTGGGAAGACAAGTCAAGAGGAATTGAAAAGCATCGAGGGCCTTTACATCTTCAAATCATTCCTTCTGAAGGCCATCCGTAGTTGGAATTGGTCAAAATAAATTCCCAGTCAAAATGTACAATACTTTATCTTGAAGTTCCGGTCTCAGCTCATTTGCGAAAAACTCATGGCATTTATTTAGTCGATGAATCATCAAATTCGATAATCAATTTGAGAAGATATTTCACAAGATTAGCATTATCTCATCCTTAGTCACTCCCGAGGCATCTCATATTCAAAATGAATCTCAGTGTCTTTCTGTCGGTGTTAAGTGTTCTTTTTTATTGGATTAACAGAAGTTGATGTGCCGATTGGGATGACTAAAGTATTTTATGCGGTTTTGTGCTTGTTACTAATTTATAGCCTTTGATTTGCATATTTTTAATAGAATTGCGTCAGGAAAACTGCCTTGAAGATCGATTGTAAGCACACAAGAGATTTTTATTATTTCACCCGGGAACGCTTTTTTAGTTTTGTCCATCATGAAGCAAGACAGAGGGTATATATGGGGAGAGAGAGAGAGAGAAGCAATATAATTGAAACAGGGAGATGTGCGTTTTTTCTTAGCTTCTTATTTGAATTCATATGAAAAATTGTGTGGTATTCTTGTGAGTTTGCTGGCCGCCCACACAATATTTTGTGGCCTGCGGAATGGAACTGGGAGATACATCACGTCTCTCTCTCTCTCTATAAGAGTGTTTTGCCATTTAGAGGTGAATCTCCATGGAAAGTCTTTAATTAGTTTTGAATTGGAAGCTGAAGATAAGTTGCTATACTTTAGCACTCGGCACACTTATCAAGATTAAGTTGTCCGAATGTGACTTAAGGTTTTTTAATCACAACCTCTCAAAATGTCAACATGCCACATTGATTCCTTGTCTTTGTTCTCTTAATTACTGTGGGTGGTTAGCAATTTATTTAATTTATATGACACATTTATTAGTGAGATATTTCTTTGAGTGCTCGCCCGAGGGTATTTCTCTCTTGTGTGCTAAGCACACAAACTCCATACTTCGAACATTATTAATAGCTTGTCTTTTATCTATGAATTCACCTGAATTGAGTTGTGTTTTCATTAGGAATGAGTTATTTTAGCATTAGAGAAACAATGCCTTGTAATGCTCCGGCGCTGGGTCAAAGGAGATTCCATGGCGGAGGAATATTTTATTCATGCTTTTATAACTCTCCACGGAGAAGCTCTCAACAAGACACTCCCGGTGAGAATTAGATATTCACATGGGTTATGAATATGAAATTACAGAAGTAAGCGCG